AGTATATGTGAACTGCTGAATGAAAAGTGAATTTACTCTGTAAATCTTCACCCAAATCAAAATAAAATTTAAAAAATAATAATAAAAAAAATAAAAAAGATTTACCACCTTAGAAACCCAATGGAGGTTGCTATGAGTTGGAATTGACGATGGCAAAAAAAAAAATAATAATAATTTTAGTATATTGATTTTGATGCAAGGATGAAAAGTCTATACATTTGATTTTTTGTTATTTTAAAAGGTTGAAATTCTTATTCGAGTTTTTATGTATATTTTATTTTTACATTTACTGTTTATCTGTATCCATTCAACAAATGTATTGATTGCTTGTGAGTAAAAAACTGTAATAAAGCCTTGAGTTACAGAAAAATAATAAAGTCTTTTCCTTCAATAGGCCAGCCTTTTGGTTAGTAGTCATATGCCACCAGAGCTCCCTAGTAAGGAATAGGAACAGGTATTTGTAGTATGCTGATATACTTAAATTTTTGTACCTTTCACACAACACAGAATCACAGGAAAGAGAGTTCACTTCTTGCTGAGATGATGAAGAAAAAAAACTTAGGTTTAATAACCAATTGGTGGCAATCTACTTCTGTAGTGATACCACCTCGGAAACCCAAGGAGGGATCACTATGAGTCGAATCCAACTCGACGGCAGTGCGTTTGGTTTGGTTTGGTTGATTAGAATACAAACTATCAGCTGTTATATAGAACTGCACTGCTGCTTCCTTCTATTATGTGTGTTCAGCTGTTTAAATATTATTGCTTATTAGGTTAATTTTTTTTTTTAAGTATAATAGTCTTAGTTCCTTAAGACTGAGATCTGATTTTCAAGAGGCTGTCAGGGTAGGTGCATTAATATCAAAACATATTTTGTACCCATTAGTGGTTACTGAATGCAGAAATATTGGCTAGAGAAACTCTTATTTTTGCCATTTCAGGAGAAGAACCCTTGGTTAGATTGAGTCTCACTGAGAGACTGGGGAAACGAAAATTTTCAGTAGGTAAGATGAGTTTTGTTATGTATCTTTTATTTTCTGTTTGTTTATACATAAACATGAAACCTTCTCCAAACGTTCTTTACGCAAATTCACTGTCAGTACTGGTTTGCCAAGCTCCCTGTGTTTTTGGCTAAAAGGACTTCTTACTAAATTTCACGTTTTAATGTCTGTGTTATCCCTTTTGTTGAAATTACGGAAATTTAAATGGTTATAGTTTTATAATGAAATTGTGGTCAACTTTTCAGAAGGCACTAAATCGTCTTGGTTTTGTTTTATTGTGATTTGGGTGAAAGTTTGCAGAGCAAATTCGTTTTTCATTCAATGATTCATACACATTTTGTTTGATGACATTGATTGCAGTCCCCACAGTTTAACAACTCTCTTCCCACTTCATTCCTGTAGTAACCTTTTCCCTGTGTACTTTCCTTTCCGTTCCTCCCTCTGAGCTCTCTCCCTGTTCACAAGCTGCCTTTCTGATAGAAGGCACTAAGTTTTAAAAGCAGTAAAGAATACCTCTGTTTCTTTGGGCAAATTGAAATTTGTATTTTTTAGAGGGGAAAAAGTATGCAATTAAAATGTGATTTATATCCTTGAATTTATGGTACTATTTTATATCAGGAACGTGCTTTCCTGTATTATTACTGAATTTTCTATACCTCCCTTAGTGTTTCTGTCTCAACAGAATTGTTTTTAAAATATGACTTTAGGAGGTTCCTTCATACTCTTTTAAAATATGCTTGCAAATATGAAACCTTATCTTCAGTTTGTGTTGTCTTTGATACCATTTCCCTGTGTGATGTTTGAAAGTGTTCTGAACATACTTATGTTTCAAGTTTTCAGACAGTCATGAAATGCTAAATGTGTCCATTTTACTGTTTGGAAGATATGTCTTTAGTAGTAAAAACTGCTTATAAAAAATTCACAATTAAGCTGTGTCTGTAAATGAAATAAGGTCCCTGGGTAGCATAAAGAGTTTGCAGTTGACTGCTAACCTCAAGGTTGGTGGTTTGAGCACACCCAGTGGCACCATGGAAGAAAGACATGGTGATCTGCACTTACAAAGATTACATACAGCCTGGAAAACCCTTTAGGGCAGTTCTACTTAGTAATACATTGGGGTCTCCATGAGTCACAATGAACTAGGCAGCAAGAGATTTGGGGTTGTTTTGTTTTCGTTTTTTTTTAGTGAGTTGATATTTACTATGGATCTGCTGTTTGTCAAAGTGCTTTTTGCTTAATCCTTAACCACAATAAACTGGAGACACAATGCTTGGCACTTAAATGGTCAGTCAGTATTTTCCGCACTGACCTGACTCAAGAAAGGTTTAAGTAACTTGTCCAAAGTTATGTTGAAATGAGCATGCTATAAATTCTATAGTCATTTCCAAAGAGAACTTAGGAGAGAAAGTATTTAGAAATCCCTTTTATGTTTTAAGAAGCTTGCTTAATCTTTTACCAGTTCTAGATTTCAAGAGCAGTATTTGATCATTGAAGCATATCTTCAGGACACAAGCTAAGCCAGAGCTTCAGAAAATGAAACTTCTAGCTTTGATAAAACTAATCTAGAGATTTTAATTAAAATTAAAAATGTGGAACATAATAAATAAAGATAGGAGATATTTTATGTCAGCAAACATGTAAACTTCGTGAGTTTTTCTCTATTTCTGTTTCTTTTTTGTCTGATATTTAAATTATAAATGAGGGGAGAGGGAAAACCATAAGTGGGTAAGTTCTTTCAGGTTTTACTTTGACCCTACAAATAAATATATCTTCAGTCAAGCAGTCTGAAACAGTTTTTAGAAGTGTGTGTGACATTTAAGCAGTTTGTATTAAATAGTATAGTATCATAAACCAGGAATGAGGAAACTTGGATTCATGTCTTGCCTCTGTATATCACTCCTTCATGTTTTGGGTAAGATTTTCAGAACTTTAGATTTCTTATTTGGAATTGAAGAGGAGCTTTTTAGCCTGCAGAGTTTTCATATTACAAGAAGAATTAAAATTTTAGGATTTTATTTTTATGTTTTCCTAATCATCTCAGGTGCATTTGACATGAATTTTCTTAGAATTTAGCCCTTGGCTCTATGAGATTTTTCACATTTTTCTAATTCTGAACTTCAACTTTAACTAGGGCTTTAAAAAAAAAAAAAAAAAAGCCCTGCCACTGAGTCAGTTTTATGACCCAAAGGGTTTCTAAGGCTGTGAATCTTTATGGAAGTAGATTGCCTCATCTTCCTCCCATGGAGCAACTGGGCTTAGAATCCTTCATTCCTGGTTTTAGTCAGAAATTTGGTACATGGTAATTTGTGCGTTCTAATCCTTTATGACCCTTTCCTCATCTCCGCTTTCTGGGATGTTTTTCTTCCTTTTCTAACATTGACTGTAAGGTAGCTGGTTAACAAACACCATATAAATACAGAAAATTTATACAATCATTCTATGTATTGCCTGCTTTTGCTGGTATTCCTTGATCTTGCTCAAGATTGATTTGAACTCTTAAAATTAAGTTTTGGCTGTTTGTAGGTGGTGACAACGATCCTCCGTTAAAGCGTAGCCTTGCACAGAGACTAGGAAAGAAGGTTGAATCTCCAGAAACTAACACTGACAAAGCATCAAAGAAAGGTATTTTTGTTCTAATATACTCAGTGTGTATGTACACGTCATGACGCTTGTTTTTTATAACATTAATGGCTAGTTTGTCATTCTTTTGCCTTAGAGAAATCCGAGTATTATTTTCTGGTATCTGTTTTATTACTTACTCAACAAACACTTGCGTTTAGCTCTTACTCTGCTAGATTCTAGGTATAAACCATTGAGCAAATTAAACACCACTACACTCCTCAGGAGCTTATGATATAATGGAAGATAGAAATACTTACAAATATTGTCATAAATTCTGTGATGAAAAAAGTATGTGGTTCTATGGGAGCACATAGAAAGAGCACTTAGTCTTGCTGTCTGTTGGAGAAAGATTCCCAGAGAAAGTGATGTTGAAGTTTAGAGCTGAAGCGTGAGCTAAGAATTGGTCAGGTAAAGTTAAAGGGCCAGGGACTATAACATGTGCAGAGTACCAGATCTAAGAAAGCATGATATGCACAAGGAATTGAGTATGGCTGAAACATAGAATTGGAATAAAAAGCATGGTGACTGGAGAGGGAAGGAAGGACTAGATGATGTAGAGCTTTTTAAGCCATGTTAAAAAGTTTGTATTTACCTTAACATAGTAACAAATCAGTCAAAGGCTGTAAACTGGGATCAAAGGCTCAGATTGACATTTTGTAACCTCTGCCTACAATATTGAGAAAGATTAGAAGGGGACGAGGAGGCTGTTGTTAAAATAATCTGTCAAGAGGAGTTAGTGGCATAGATTTAGTACTGTAGAGGTAGTTACGGAGAGATGTGGACTAAATCAGGAGATATTTGGGAGTTAGAACGATTTATAATTGAAAGACAGAAGGGAGTAAAGGGTTGGTTGGTCTTCTTGCATGACATAGTTAAATGTTGGAGCTTTTTTTCTTACTGTGTTTCATTTTAATTTTTCTTGAAGATAAGAAATTAAATAACTTCTTTTCCCTTTTATTCTGACCCAAGATGATGTTCTTGTTTGGGGGTTTTGGGTATTCTGTGAGCAAGCAGAAGTTAACTTTTTCATTGTAGCCAAATTTCCTTCCTCCCTGCTTCTTTTCCTCTTTGCCTGTCAATCAAAGTGAAGATTCTCATAACTGAGGAGCATAGTTCAAATAGGTTCATGGGTAAAAATCTTTTTGATGCCAATAAGATTATAGGAAATTGTAGGGTAATAAGATTATTTCTCTGGATCTTGTAGTTTTTGTTTTACAGATACAAAGACAGTTGATTTCTTTTTTTAGCTGTCCATGGTGCTCTGGGGAATCCATGATGCTTATAGATGTGTTCTTGGGAGAAGTAAAATTTAAGACAATGAGAGATTTAAAAAAAAACTAAAAAACCTGTTTGCTTTAGAAGAAAAATATAAGCATAATTTATGAACTTTGAAAAAGATATTTGATCTATAAAAAGTCTCTGTTCAACTTTTGGTTATTGTGATTGTTTCTTTTTACAGTTCAAGTCTCCAAGTCTCTGAAGGAGCGATTAGGCATGTCTGCTGATCCAAACAGTGAGGAAGCAGCAGGTTGGTAATCCTCAGACCAGGTCCTCAGGTTTTTCCCTTGCCATAAAAGTCTTTGCTTTTCCTCCAGTTTACCTATTGAAGTTAGATTAGAGTTTATGTTTTGTTTTTGTGATTTTGTTTGGTTTTTAAATAATTTACTCACTGTTTGAATTTCCGTTTAATACTTAGAGATGGCAAAATGGTTGCTCATTACAGTATTAATAGTGGGAAATTAGAAACAACCCAACTATCCAACAAAAGGGAATTAGATTATATTATTGTAGTTATACTGCCTTGGAAACCCAAGAAGGAGGGGCCTCTATGAGTCGGTCAGACTCGACGGCACATAACAACAACAACGTGTAAAAATTATTACTGTTACTAAAAATCATGTTCCGAACAATAATGACATGGAAAAATGCATCATATCAAATGAAGAAAGATGACAAAACAGCATGTACCAGTTTAGAACTAGAGCAATAATAAAAGCTTGGGGAAAAAAAAGGGGGAAGTGTGTTTTTTTTATTATAGAAACTTATTCTTAGGAAAAATATGCGTGCGTATGGGATGATTGCAATTTTGTAAAGATATAAAATATGTTTAGAAAAACTGAAAAAAATACACCAAAATACTAACATTGGTTTTATCTCAGTATTGAGGTTTTAGGTAATTTTAGTCCTTTATAGTTTTTGTATATAGTCTTTATACTCTAATTTTAAAACTTTTTAAATTGTGAGATAAATTATGTAACTGTTTTCATTTACATATATATACACATATGCATCCACATACATGTAAATATAATATATGTACAATTTAAAGAAGAATAAAATAAACATTCATGTATTCAACTATCCAGACTTTTTATACATTCCCAGATTTAGTTTGATATTTTCTGTCTCAAATTTTTACTTTTTACATCTATATTGATGAATGATGTTACTTTCCTTTCTTACCATGTCCTTATCTTACCTGATTTGGGTATTAAGATTATACATTTGACCCTTGAACAATACAGGGGTTATGGGTGCCAACCCCTGTGCAATTGAAAATCCAGGTATTACTTTTTACTCCCCAAAAACTTAACTACTGACAATCTACTGTTGACCAGAAGCCTTACTAATAATATAAAGTCTTAACATAGTTCTTGCTGTACAGTTACTAGATTTTCACATGTAGACTTTCACACACATACATAATAGATAAATTTATTAACTACACAACATGATGATTTACTCTACATTAAGTGGAAGTGAACCATCTTAAAGGTCTTCATCCTTACCAGCTTCACACTGAGTAGGCCAAGGAGGAGGAAAGGTTGGTCATGCTGTCTCAGGGATGACAGAGGTGGAAAAGATGGAGGAGGTGGAAGGGAAGGCAGGAGAGACATGCACACTCAGTGTAACTTTACAGAAATGCATTGTAATTTCTGTCTGATGTTTTTGTATTTTTGTTTCTCTAAAAATGTTTCTATACAGTACCAATCCTCCTTCAACCATTTGCTTTAGTTTGAGTACCCATATCACAGAAGGGTCTGTGTCATAAAAGAAGTCAAAAGCAATCTTGAATAATTGGAACCCTTCTGCCAGATTGTCTAATGTCAGTTGTTTTCTAGCACTACTGCTTCTACATTTTCTTCTTCATTGTCTGGCACTGCTCAGAAGCACTCATCTCCATCAGGTCGTTGTCTGTTCATTTCTGTGGCGTGATACCTGTTAGCGCTTGAATTTCTCCAAGATCCGTCTCTTGAGGGGGAAAATCCCACACACAAGTAGTCCTGCATAGTTCAAACCCATGTTGTTCAAGGATCAGCGATACTAACATCATTCACAAAAGGGCATCTCATGTTAGATGTTCTTACTCTTTTGTAGGCAGCTTGAATTTATCCTCCAGAAACTTTTTATCATTCTGTAGTATGTTGCAACTTTACTATGGTGGATCACAACATAGATCTTTTTTCTTTATTCTGCTCAGTATTCATTAGGTCCTTTGAATTTAAGGACTTACTCCATTATTTCTAGAAAGCATTCATCTGATTTCTTTGAGTGTATCCTCCCTACCTTTTTGTTTTCATTTTATGGAATTCTTATTTAGACACATCTAAGAACTTGTGGGAGTGTGCTCCACATGTCTCCCAAACTTACGGTTGTATTTCCCATCTCTTTGCTTTTATGCTTAACCTTCTATGAGCTTTATTTGGCCTTGTTTTCTAGATCAAGGGCCAGCAAACTTTTGCTGTAAAGGGCCAGACACTAAATAGTTTAGGCTATGTGTTGCACAGTTTCTGTAGCTGAATAGCTGCCATTATAGTGAGAAAGCAGCACATGCAATATGTAAATGAAAGTATTCCAATAAGGCTTTAGTTGCAAAACTGAGATGGCAGCCAGATTTGGCACTAGGGCTGTTGTTTGCAGATCCTTTCCTAGATGACTGCTTTCAGGTCAGCTTTGCCTGTTTTATTATTCAGTCCATTGGATATTTACTCTGACACCTGTTGAGGTTTTTTGGTCCAAAACTGTTTTGTTTTCTGATTTTGCCTTTTTCATACCTGATTTGGCTGCTCTGGGGTTTTTAATTTGAAATTTCGGGGGTGGGGTTGGTAGTATTAAAGCTTCTTAATCACTTCACTTTATTTAGCTCATTTTTAATATTATTGTTTTTCTGTAGTTGTAAGAAGTTGCTCCTGTGGTTTCTCCTGTGGTTGTAAAAGTCTTTCTCCTAAGTAGCTCTGTATCCTGACTTGTAGAGGATGTGATCGATAACCAGCAAAGTGAGCTAAAGGCAGCCTTGTGGGAGTTACAAGGAGGAAGTTAGCTACGATTGCCACAGTGAGAAAGGCTTTCTTTACTTTCAGAGTAGAACTGATTTCTTCCTTTTTGATCTTTGCCTTTTCTTTTCCTCCCTTCCCTCCTTTTTCTGCTTGTCATTTTGGAAGCCTGAAGTTTTCATGTTCTGCTTCTCTCTAGCCCCAACATCTTTATGATGTGCCCTCTTCCCAGGCAGGCTCTTCTCTTTTTAAGGACCAGTTGTCAGGAGAGGGCCATGACTGGCCCAACTAACGTGTCTTTAAATTTTTACCCTAATGGTTATCCCAGAACCCATTGTTGGTTTTCATACTGGTTAACCTGAGTTTGCATTTTCCTTTGGCTCTGTTGAAAAGAATAGCTCTCAACCCTATAGTCCTACCTTTTTTTTTTTTGGTAAATTCAAACATCTTGTTTCCTGATTTCAGGAATTTCTCAAGATTTATGCTTTTCCAGTACAACCTTATTTTCCATTGCTATTGTGCCTTTGTTTTATTTTTGATGTATTCTCTATGATTTTGATGGAAATTTGGTAGGGCAAGGAAACTGCTGAGAGTGATTTTTCTTAGACTGGTAATTTAGAGCTCAGTCAACCATCTCAAAATGAGAGAGTTTATAATTTTTTACAAAAAACCTAAACAAATAATTTAGCGTTTGAGTGCTTCTTATGTAATGGGTGCTATGCTAAAAGATTTCAGGTCATAAAATACATACACAGTCACTGATCTCAAGAAGTGTATATTGTTGTTGGAGATTGGCAACTACAGTACTGTGTGATCAGGGCTGTGAGAGGAGAAACAAACTAGATTTGAGAAATTCAGGTTCTAAGGTGAGTCTTGAACTCAGTTAAAATGTAGTTTAAAAAAAGAGAGACCAGTAAGAAATGCTGTGTGTTGGGGGTACAGCCCATATTCAGAGGTTTAGGAGTCAGAACAGACTGTGTTTAAGGTTGTTAAAGGGTATTGTTTGCCTTGTTGAATAATTTCTGAGAGTTAAAAAAATGTTGACTTATTAGTTGATCATACAATTAGCAAATGGACAACACACAGCATGAGACTGGGTCCTGCACCTGAGATGAGACAGGATGGGATTCTTACAATCCAAAGAACAAAGAATGTCAGGGAAGTCCAACTGGTTTTAATATATCTTTCAGATATTCATCAAAATGTCTCTTAAAATTCTTTCTTCCTCAGAATTGCGATGCATGTCTGAAGGGTCAGTGTTTGCCAATGCCAGCATGTCTGGAATGTAGAGGTATTCTGAGAGTGCTGGTTGTATATAAACTTAAATAAGCTAATTGTTATCTCTAAAGTTCAGGTTACTTGATAGCTTAAACATTTGCCCTGTGAAATCAGGTAGCAGCTATGTTCTTTCAGGTTTGGCATAAGTGACTCCATCTTGTTTTAGCTTCTACTCAAAAACCACAGCAGCAGTTTAATTTTTATTTTTCTTTAAAAATTACTTATCAGTGATTACGTGTGTGTGTGTATATATATATATATAATATCCAAATTATTCTTGTTCATTCCGTATCACTTCATTACTTCTTTTCCTAGCTTTTTAGTCATGAGGGTAGTTATTTATGTGAAATTTGTTCTTTAGTTTAAACAGATATAGAATGATTATCCTTAAAAGTAGCTGTTTGGTAGGTTTCATGGCACACCAGTATCCGGACCTTCCATTTTCCTTCTGCCTTGTCAATTGTTTTACCTCCTTTTTGTCATTGGAATGTCACGTGTATATCAGTTCCTCTGAAAAGCTTCCCTTAGCCCATTCTAGGCAAGGGTTAGTGTTCTTGTTATATGCTCCTTTAGTATTATACTGCCTTTATCAAAGCTAATATTACCACACTATTTCATGACTGGTTTTAACATCTGTCTTTCTGCTAGAGATAGTAGTTTGTTTACCATTACATTTATAGCATAGTGTCCCATACATGTCTATGTATGTGTATGGAAGAATTAATTTATTTCTACTTTGAGTGGTAAGACTCAAATGGTAAGAAATCACAGATTTTTCTGACTAGTACATGGCTTTCATGTATGTCAAGAATAGCCTCTGAATACAAATACAAATCAGCAAGTTTTGCCTTCTGTAAGTTTTCCTTGAGGGTCACACTGCCTGAAACATGCAGTAATCTAAAATTGAGATTGAAACTAATACAATACTCTTGATCATATTCATTCTTAGTGATACCTTTCTACTGGACATCCAGTGACATTATTATTTCCCCATTCAAAACAGAGAAAGTTACTAAAGTTGGCGAGATCCATGTGAAGACATTAGAAGAAATTCTTCTTGAAAGAGCTAATCAGAAACGTGGAGAATTGCAAACTAAACTTAAGACGGAAGGACCTTCAAAAGCTGATGATTCCACTTCAGTAACAAGAAGCTCCTCCAGTATCCGAATCAAAACCTTCTCTGAGGTCCTGGCTGAGAAGAAACATCGGCAGCAGGAAGCAGAGAGACAGAAAAACAAAAAGGATATAACTTGCATCAAGTTAAAGACTGATAATGAAATTAAAAAAACAGTGCTTTTGCCACCCATGGTTGCCAGCAAAGGACTGTCAGAGGAGCCACTAGGTAAAACCAAATCAATACAGGAGGTGCACATCAAGACGCTGGAGGAAATTAAACTGGAGAAGGCACTGAGGGTGCAGCAGAACTCTGAGAGCAGCACCAGCTCCCAGCCCCAGCCTGAGGGCACACCAGGGACAAGGCGGCTACTGCGCATCACCAAAAGAACAGGTAACAAAAGATCTGATCCTAGTAACACTTCTCCAAAGAATATCCCAAAAGTCAGAGTTACATTGACCTTTGATGTTCTCAAGAGTTATATGAGAACTCTTACTAGTTCAAATAACTTTGCAAAGCATTAGAGTTAATAAAATAAAGGGTTTTTTTTTTTAACAACACCATATAGACCTTCGATATCCTACTGTACATTATGAGACTGTAAGAGGACTAATTGGTTTTATCTATAGTGTGATTTGCCCTGCCTTATCACTGATTGCATTAAGAAACATTTTGCTTAACTTTAGCCACTTTGAAGTTTCAGCCTGCGTAAGAAAATTATTGATGTGTTTATTTTGAAAATAGGTGTAAAAGAAGAAAAGAAACTTCAGGAAGGAAGTGAAGTTGCATCTCAGAGCAGTGTTAATAGAGCAGAGGCTAAAGAGGTGAGTTTATTTAATATCATTGTATAATTTTTTCCTTTGGCAAGCAGTGGCTAGATGATTGGGGCTTTTTAGTTTTAGCTTACCTTATAAACACTTCACTGATACTGTTATTTATCATACTTATCGTTTTCTACGAGAGTTTTCTCTTGTACTATATATATCAGTGTCCTCCGTCCTTATAAAGTTGTTTCTAACTGACCATCAGTGCTTTTAAAATGTATTTCCTGCCTTTGAGAGTAATAGTGCTACAAAACTTAGGAATTTTCATTTTATGAAAGAATGAAAAAACCCTCATAATTCCATAACCCAGAAGTAAGCACATAATTTTTTCATGAATTTCCTTTTGGTCTTTTGTTTATATATGTATGCAGTTGAACTTGTGTAATATATATATATATTTTTAATGATTTTACCATATTAATAATTATTCAAAACTTTTATTTTTATTAGCCACGTAATATTCTATTACATAGCTATAATCTTTTTAGCTGTTTAGATTTTGTCATACACAATTATAAGTACTAGGATAATAAACAGCTTTGTACATAAATCTTAGTGCAGGTGTCTTGTTAGGTAGATGTCATTAGTATTTGACTAAAAGTCATCACTGTTTAGCATATAGAAATAGTTTTTATTGGTCCACACATCTTTAATTCTTTCATTTTAGCTTAGTATTGTCTAGTTAATATCAAATAAAGAGCTTTTATCTTGGATTCTGGGTCATGTCAAACTGCTTGACTTAGATGTTAGCCCAGTATCTATTAAATAATGTTTAATATGTAGATTGAGGTACTGAATTTTAACAATATCATGGAAACTTACCTACAGATTTCCGATGAGACCACAGGAATTGGCGCCACTAAAATTCAAGTCAGGAGATGTGAAACCTTGAAAGAGAAGCACATGCAGAAACAGCAGGAAAAGGGAGCTCCACAAAAGGAAAAATCAGTTTTGATACCCCTTCAGGGAGACGTAGCCTCTTGCAATACTCAACTGCTAGAGAAACCAGTGCTCACAACTGTACCAGGCATCACTCGGCACCAGACAAAGAGGCTGCCCACAAAGTCATCCCAGAAGGTGGAGGTAGAAACCTCAGGGATCGGCGATTCAATATTGAACGTGAAATGTGCAACACAGCCCTTGGAGAAAAGGGGTAAAGGTGAGTTATTTAAAGTGTGTCTTGCTTTAGGATTTCAGAATTACCAGAGTAATTGGAAATATTTGGGTTCAATTTAATTTACCTTTCATACTGGTCAAAGGGGTCCCCTGGTGGTGCAAATGGTTAAGCACTCAGCTGGTAACTAGTGCTTAAGGCACTTGACTGCTAACCAGAAAGCTGGTGGTTCAAACCCACCAGCCACTCCTCAGAAGGAAGGGTGGGCAATCTACTTCCGTAGTGATACCACCTCGGAAACCCAAGGAGGGGTCGCTATGAGTCGGGTCTGACTCAACGGCACATAACATTAACTAACTAGAAGATTAATGGTTCAAACCACCCAGCAGCTCCACAGGAGAAAGACCTGATGATCTGCTTCTATAAAGATTACAACCCAGAAAACCCTATGGGCAAGTCTGGTCTGTCACATAGATTGCCATGAGTCAGAAATGATTTAATGGCACCAGCAACAACATTGGTCAGATGGGTAGAAAGGAATATTTCTGACAGTTTTTTTAAAAAGACAAAGCTAGATGAATTGCTTTCTCAGAACTTTTATTTGCTGTTCAGAAAGCTCTCTTTCAAACTTACTCCATGGTGCATCCTCCCTTTAGTTTTGAAAATGAAAAAACACCGGGAAATAGAAGGTGGTGGCACATTTAAGAACCACTGAAAGATAGGTCATTTGAGTATGACTCTGCATTAGGTCCATACATTGTAATAAACATTGCCTGTGGATCATTTGCAGACTTTGTGTATGTTTGTGTGGTATTCTATTACTGGAGGAATTTTTGGTATTTTGTGCTGAATCATTTTCCATGTTAAAAAGAAATTATTCTAGCTATTAATTGAATACTTCCTATGTTTTGTAGCTAAACCCAAAGTGAATGTGAAGCCATCTGTGGTTAAAGTTGTTTCAGCCCCCAAATTGGCCCCAAAACGCAAGGCAGTAGAGGTTCACCCTGCTGTCATTGCAGCTGTGAAGCCACTCAGTTCCAGCAGCATCCTGCAGGAAAGCCCAGCCAAAAGAGCAGCTGTGGTAAGATGTGGATCCAGCTCCACAAGCTTGAGCTTGATTCTGCGTGGGAAGGAATCAGGGCAGATTAATAACCCTTTCTTGGCTCTTCATATCTTTGTAAAGTACTTCCTACCATTAGTTGTTTAGATCACTATTTGCAGTTAGAGATTTGTATAATGGTGGGACGGGGTATTTTTAACTAATTCTTGGTGGAAAGGTATTTTGCTATTTGTACACTCTGCCTTTTGATAATTGATTCTTAAATTCCTAGACTTATAAAAGGTAACAGGAATCTAAAAAGGCAGCAAAAGAAAATGAATTTGCTGAAACCAAACAAAGTCCAACTCACCTGCTGAATTATCCGTTCTCTTAATTTTGTAGGCTGTCGTCCCGCTCCTCTCTGAGGACAAGTCAGTCACTGTGCCTGAGACAGAAAAACCTAGGGACAGGTAATGCCGCACAATCCTTTTTAACCAAACTTCAGATCTCTATTATTATTATATGCTCTCTAGAGAATAACAGTAGCTAGTGCCTAAGGCACTTGACTGCTAACCAGATGGCTGGCAGTTCAAATCCACCAGCCACTGCTCAGAAGGAAGGTTGGGCAATCTACTTCCCATAGTGATACCATCTCAGAAACCCGAGGAAGGGTCGCTATGAGTTGGGCAGGTCCGACTTGATAGCACATAACAACAACAGAGAATAACAGGAGCTCTGGTGGCGTAATGCCTAAGGCATTTGACTGCTAACTGGAAGGCTGGTGGTTCAAACCCACCAGCCACTCCTCAGAACAAGAGTCAGGCAATGATAACACCCTGGAAACCCAAGGAGGCGTACTCTGTGGCAGTGAGTTTTTAGAGTTAGAGAATAACACTGCTAGATAACTTTAAACATTTGTAATTTAGCCACATCTAAATAAATTTTATGAACTTAAAAGTAATTGCAAGAAAACATGAAATTCAATATTGCTATTTTTCTGTGGTGCCGTTGTTTGTATTTTACCTGTATTATTTAAAACATGTTTTGAATACCTGGCTAAATTCTGCTTTAAATTATGAAATTGCTTGATTCTAAATCGGTTAAAAAGAAAAAAATATATTTTTTTTATGTGTCCTCAGAAACAACTCTTTGTTAATAACTTTTGTCCTTGAGCGAACAGGTGGTTCAGCCAGCCATTGAAAAGGAGCAGTTTTTTAATCTTTTTTTCTCCCCCGACTTATAGTCTTGTGCCATCGCCAACTCAGTCCTCTTCAGATCCTTCACCTCCAGAAGTATCAGGCCCTTCCTCATCCCAAGTGGCTATGAAAACTCGCCGACTCAGCTCTACTTCAACAGGAAAGCCCCTGCTCTCTGTGGAGGATGATTTTGAGAAACTAATATGGGAGATTTCAGGAGGCAAATTAGAGGCTGAGATTGACCTGGATCCTGGGAAGGATGAAGATGACCTTTTGCTTGAGCTATCAGAAATGATTGATAGCTGAAGGTGGTAGTGCAAAAAAAAAAAAAAAAACCTCACCAAAAAACTGGACTTAGTTTCATCTATTATCACATTTACCCGAGGTGATCATTGCGTTAGTCTAGAATTTGACCCACATCAGAAGTATACCTCTGAATTACCTGTATGTGTCCCAGATTCCTTGGGGTCAGATTTTTAAAGTCACTCATTTCATTTTGTTCATTTGATGCCATTGTTTAGCATCTTTGAAATAAAGTTCTGTTTTACCTTTCTCTCTGCAAAAAGAGACTGAGAGGAGGATCCAGGTGAAAGGACGCAAGAGAACTAGTGACTCCTTGAGGTGTTTTGTCAGTTTGGCTTTTTTTTCCCCGTTTGTTGTATTTCTTTTATGTATTGTCTTAATGTACATAATATTACCTAAATTTGAAAAGGATGAAGACAGCTGCTACCATTAAGGACCAAATTTCATGCTACCACTAAACAAAAAATTCACTGCGTCTATGTTAAATTGTATGTCTTTTTAAATGTATTTAGAGATTCATCTAAGCTTTAGAGAAGGCTGAGTAGCTTAGGAAGCCAGTAATCGGGACATAACTTTGTACCTGATTTTGATGCTTCTGCTGCTCTATAAGCCTCTGAAAAGCAATAGCTAATTTATTATTACTGTAATTTTTTAAGGCTTTAAAGTGCCTCTGGGGTTCCCTGAAACTAATTTTCTATTTCTGGGATTTCCTGGATTCTCTATAAGAGATGATGATATGATTAGAGGAATTCTTTTTAGTATGGAAGCTGTCCCTTTTTCAGTACTTGCCTCCTATTGTGATTGAATTATCAAAGGGACAAAAATTGGTTAATTTTTTATTTCTAACTCTCAGCAAACTCCTCTTGCCTAATATTTATTTGGGTCCCTGTAACTAACTGAGGGGAAAAAATGAATTCATTGAAGCTGCCAATATTTATCTATGAACTGTAGCAGTACACTGACTTGTACTGTAGCAGGGACATTGAGATGCTCGGGGGGTGTATTGCATACCTTCCAGTTACACTGTTTTCTTCATTTCTGAATTGAATTTTATTTTCTTGGTGTTGGTCTCCTTCATGTCACCTCAAGGGTTTAGACTTGTGAAGGAACAAGTATGATGGGGATAGTAGTCTTGAAAGGAGACATACTGTACATAATCGGAAGGAAAAAGAAAGGACTTACCCATTTTGATATGTTGCTGTAGGTGGCCAGTTTTGTTTCTCAAAGGGAAATCTGACCCACCTGTCAAGCTGGCTCCTAAGGAACTGCTGTTGTAAACAGCTCATCAAGAGTTGAACCTCCACGTAGCCATTTTGGAAATATGGAAAAGGAAGAAAGCCACGGGACTGCCTGTTCAGTTTTGGGGAAATGTGGATGATTCTGCACAAGCAAAAATGACTTGAAATTTACAAATAGACACCTCTCTACCAATCCATCTTCAGTGACCGAATGTTGTATGATAGCCGTCCAAAGCAGGGGTGGAATTAATCTGGTTTCACAACACATTTTCTACTTTTTTCGTTTTTGGAATCACCTTACAGATTCCAGGTCCCTTTTGTATATAACCTTTATTCTTTTGTTTTTTAAAAATAACTATGTCATATTTAAATCCCTTGTATTAGTCAGTGATTCATGTTCAGCATTATTTCAACCATTTGCCATTACAGAAAGAAATACTTATTTGTGTTCTAAATAAAACTGGTGTAGAAAAGTCTTGATACTGTGAGTCAGTAGTCTTACATTACTTCATCCTACCCTCTGACTTGACAGAGATCCTAGTCAGAATTGTGTTGCCTTGTGTAAATGCTCCAGATTCACAGATTACTGTTGGGTTTTAGAGACTTTTCATAAGGACCTGTGCCAAACACATCTACACATGTGCTCAATTTAAGTTTTACCTGCATATACATTAGGTAAGAATGCATGTCATTATTGTATGTACCTTCTATCATGCATGAGAAGTTTTTTCTGCATGTGAAAAATTATTTACTTCAGGAGAGTCCAGATATTTTCAGCAGTCTATATCAATTTTAAATTATTATGGGGACACATACGTATTTGTTAGTTACTAAAGAACGTGGATTTTTTAATAGTAGTCTTAAGTCTCAGCAAGTTGAATCAACCTTTCATAAAATGCAAAACAGATTGTATGTTTAATATTGAATGATGATGGCCTTCAATTTTAACAGGAGGAGGAAGGCCCAAATGCTGCAGAGTTTGGCCATATCCAGAAGTGTTAAGATTGTTTTGAACATATGTATCTGTATCAAGGTAAATCCCAAAGTTCTGACCTCAATTTTGAATTCCAATGAAACTTCTCCTATATGTCCAAAACATAGATTTGTTTCATCTCAGCTAGTTTGAAACCACCACAGAGAGAAGACTGATGTTTGTTTATTACCACTTCAGGAACAAAGTTTGATCAATATTGATTAAAGCTCTATGATCGTTTTCTAAAACTGGGTCCATTTCACCAGAATAATTCTGCAATTGATTAATTGATTTGAATTTTGCAGCTTGGCAACAGGAAGTACATGCTTTCTAGGTGCTAACTGTTGTAATAGGCAACACTCCTTTAAACTAGCTAATATTTATTGAGTACTTAACTACTTACCTCTTAATTCACATTTCCATTTTGACACTGTATTGGAAGATCATTGCCGTTTTTCTCATTGTAGTTCCAATATTCAGATTTAACAGTAAAAAAGTACACTCTTAGGAACCATTGTGTTTGTATTGAACCTTTCAAGAACCCTTTTTTATTAAATGTGATCTTAAGAAACTGCTCAAATAAATCTTTGAAAGTTTTTGCAATCGAGACATCTGAAATTTCCAAACTGCTTCAGTTTATTTTGAATTTGCAAAATGATGGTATTTAAGGATGTGTGCCCAAAGAAAATAATTGACCATTAAGAAAATTATATATATTGTACAGTAAAACGGGCAAAAAATAAATAAGCAATGACTGAATAAGAACAGCAATCTAGAAAATTTATCTATTTTTAGATTTAGGTTCCAGAGGATTTACTGAATTGGGCAATAATGTATTTAAATTTGGTTGAATTTATAATTTAAGAGGCTGAGTCTGAGGTAATAAGCAAAAAGCAGTAAGTGAACTAAAACTTGGTATTGACTTTCCCTAGGTTTTTTGGTCTTAAGATTCTGTGACTGATTTGTCCTCAAAAGGAAGTGAGACCTAGAAAGTTGAGAGTAAAGGTAAGCTCAGCCAAAAATCAGATTCTGAAGAAGGCAGAGAAGGAAAAAAAGACTCCTGGTGAAGCTAAGTACAGGCATACCTCATTTTATTGTGCTTCACTTTAGTGTACTTTGTAGCTACTGCATTTTTTTTTTTTTTTTTACAAATTGGTGGTTTGTAGCAATCCTGTGTCAAGCAGGTTGGTTGGCACAATTTTTCCAATAGCTTGTGCTCACTTCATGTCTCTTGTGTTTTGGTAATTCTCACAATATTTCACACTTTCATAATGCTCTTGCACACTTTAATAGACTATAGTGTAAACATAACTTTTAAATGCACTGGGAAGCCAAAAGATAATGTGACTAGCTGTATTGCAATATTAGCTTTATTGCAGTGGTTTAGAACCAAACTTGCAATATCTGAGGTATGCCTGTAAATGAAGGGAAGGAAAAGCACAATGGAGTGAACGCTGACACCTTTGTGTGGATAATGAGGTCATTTATTAGGACTGGGAGCTCAAGGAGGATGAGCAAACTTAGAAAAGTTAGTGTGGAGAAACATGATAGAAATATATTGGCATGTAACTGCCACAAAGCATTTTGGACTCCTACCCCTGGTGGCTCAATGGTTACTGGAAGGGTTTGTGTTTCAAACCCACCAGCAGCTCAGCAGGGGGAAAGACTTGGTGATCTGCTTCTGTGAAGGTTACAGCCTAGGAATCACTATGGGACAATTCTGCTCTATTACAAGGGGTCACTTGGGTGGGAATCAACCGGATAGCACACAATAGCCACCCCTTGAAGAGGCTCAGATGAGAACATTATGTACTCTAACCATAATTTAACACTACTGGCCACTAGGGAAGGAGGTCTCATGGTGTAGTGCCTAAAGCATTTGACTGCTAACCAGAAGGTTGGTGGTTCTAACCCACAAGCTGCTCTGTGGAAAGAAGATGGGGTAAATTACTTCTGTAAAGATTTACTACCTCAGAAACACAATGGTGGTTGCTATGAGTCAGAATTGATTCAATGGCAGTAAGTTTGGTTTTTGGTTTTGGCCACTAGGGGTAGACAAGAGTATAAGACAAGCCCTTGAAGTACTTAGGAAATACTTTTAGAGAAAAGTACCAGGAGTGAAGTTGGTGCAAATAATAAGCAAGTGCTGGTATGTTGTTCTGTGCCGTCGAGTTGGACCCAACTCATAGTGACCCCTCCTTGGGTTTCAGAGGCACTATGACTACGGAAGTAGATTGCCCAACCTTCCTTCTGAGGAGTGGCTGGTGCGTTTGAACCGCCAGCCTTCTGGTTAGCAGTCAAGTGCCTTAGGTACTATGCTACCATATGGGAGGGATAAATGAGTGTGACATCATTGAGTTGCAAACTGCTCAGGGTAGGCTTCCTGGAGGTGTGAGAGCCAGAGTTTTGTGTAGTTTAGCAAAGGAGATGATTTGATTGGCACACAAGGCCAAAATTGAGCAAGTAAGGTTTGTTTTCATAACCTTTGACCATCATCCTGTTGGTACTTTTCTTTAGAGCCTCTGCTTTGTCTCATTCTTGCTCTCAGTTGGCTGTCAACTATTCTTGGCTAAAGTAGGAATGGGAAAGAAAAATCTACTTAAAATTCAAATTAAGTCACTCTGCTTCATAAATGCTTCCTTGCTTCCCTCTTTCCTCTGAAATTAAATTCAAGGTCCTTAGCATAGCATGTAAGGGCCCCAGCCTATCAGTTTCTTCTGCCACTGACCCTTCATGCTGGACACTCCAGCAAAACTTCCTGCAGTTGATTTCCCAAATACGCTAATCTCTCTAGCCCTTTGCCTTGGTTAATGCTATGGCTATTCTACCTAAAAGTCTGTTTCCCTCTTTTCTTTCTGCTAACCCCTACATACCCTGTACCACCAGGCTACCTCTCTCAACACTGCACATTCCCTCTCACCAAAGTGGGATTTAGTACTTGACACCAGTAATGTTTTGTGTGAACAGTCTACTTCTTGACGGTTTTCTTGCTTAGGAAATGGTATAGATGATGCAACTCCTGATTAACTGTTTTCCAAGGAGTTGGAAAGTTTGAACTAGACTCTCACCATCTCATACCTATAGATAGTTTCATCTAGCAGTTTACAGATTATCAGCTATAATTTTGTGAGAAATCATTTTGCATCTTCAAATAAGAACATCTGGATTTCATTATTATCTGGCCCAATCCTCAGATTATACCTTTTTTTTTTTTAATAGTGGTTTGAGTGAAAGTACGGAGCAAATTAGTTTTCCATTCAACAATTTATACACATTTTGTTTCGCCACATTAGTTGCAATTCCTTCAATGTAACAGCACTCTTCCAGCACTTCCTCCTTGTTTCTCCAGTTTCATTCATCTGTTTTTCCTGCCCCTTCCTGCCTTCTGAGCTTTGTTTTGGGGCAAATCCTGCCCTTTTTGGGTCTTTTATGGTTGATTCCTTTGAAAACTACATTCCTCATGAGTATTATTGCTCACTTTATAGGCCTGTTGTTTGGCTGCTAGGTGATCCTGGGGGTGGGTTCAATTCCATGTCTAAAGGATGTCTGAGGGCCACGGTCTTGGAGGTTCCAACAGTCTCTTATCAGACCAGGTAGTCCAATCTATTTTATAATTTTAAATTTGTTCAACATTTTTCTCCCATTCTGTCCACGACCTCCTGTGATCCCAGTCAGAGTGTTTGGTAGTGGTAGCCAGGCACCATCTAGTTTTTCTGGCCACACGGTAGTGGAGGCTGTGGTTCACGTGGTCCATTAGTGCTTTGGAATAATTGTTTCCTTCAGCCTTTGATTTTCTTCACTCTTTTCTTCAGCTGGAGAGAGAACAATATTTGCATCTTAGATGACTGCTACTCACCACAGTAGGGTGTAGAGCATCGTCTTTTATGCCAATTGACTTGACTGTCCCCTGAGACTGTGGTCCCAAGCCCCCAAGCCTCATTCCCACAAGATATTTGGTTATGCCTGAGAAGTTTGCCCCTGGTTTGCTCTATTGTATACATGAATATATTTTGCAACATATACAAATACATATGTAGAAACATCCTCTGCCATTCCTATATGTAGTTGTAGGTATAGCCCATTTGTCTACCCATACCCATTCAATGTGCATTTCTACCTGTGTATCCAATCACAGATTAGTGTTTGTTATTACTTATATTGCCACATTGTATATATAATAGTACTTTTACCTTTGTTGTCTGTAACTCTTGTGCACCTCTCAGTGTCTTCCTTTTCCTTAGTAATAATATTGTGCCGATCTCTTCCTTATTATATATTGCCTTTCCCTTCACCCAAACTAATACATGTCTTATCAGTTGTGGTTGTTAGGTGACGTTGAGTCTGTTTTGACTCAGAGATTTTATGTACAACAGAACAAAACACTGCTCAGTCCTGTGCTGTCCTCAGAATCATTGCCATGCTGGAGCCCGTTGTTGCAGCCACTGTGTCGATCCATCTCGTTGAGGGTCTTCCTCTTTTTCACTGACCATTTACTT